ACACAGCATCAGGTAACATTCTGTTTTGATCCAAAGCTTTTCATTTGCTTGTTTTGAAAGTAGATATGCTACTTGCTTTTTTTCCTAGCTTATATTAGTCTGGAAGTTCCACTGAATTATGTCCACTCTATATGATTCTTCTGACACTAGAAATACTAGTAGGATTGCTTCCAGCATTATAGCAAGACAGTAAATAAAAACATGAATTACTTTGAGAAAGTCTCTTGTCAAGTACTTCTCTAAGAGTATTAACGAACAAGGATCTCAGTCTTGAAACTTAGGGATGCCTGATACAGATTATGTCTTTATAATCATGTGCTATGCATCAACAAGCTAGATAACAACGAAGAAGAGTGTTTATCATACAGTGGACTGCCAAAAAAAACAAATGGGTCTGTCCTGGAAAGAGTGAATTCAGGCTGCTCCCTAGAGGCAAGGATTTTGAAGCTCCACTTCACATACTTTGGGTACATGGCCAGGAGAGACCAGTCCTTAGAAAAGGACATCCTGCTTGGAAAAGTGGAGGAACAGTGCAGGAGAGGAAGACCCGGGGTAAGATGGATTGACTCAGTGACTGGAGAAATGGGATTAGGTCTGGTGGCAATGATTAGATTGGCTCAAGATAGGGCAGAGTTCAGACCTAATGTACACAGGATTGTTATGAGTCACTGGCAACTCCATGGCACATAAAAACAACAATGGTACAAACTAACAGTCAAGTAGTAGAATTCAGAATTTTCCCACTCATTAAGTACAAATTCATTTGAGAGCTTCTCATATTTTTTACTCAGATCTAGTAAATTTCCAAACATATACTGTTGTTGTTGTTGTTATGTGCCATCAAGTCACCTGCAACCCATAATGATCCTATGAACATTGTCTTGTCCTGAGCCAGTCTCACTAATTCCAACACACCAACCCCCATTGCCCCAGTAACTCTATCAATCCATTTAATCTGGTACACACTCATTTAAAATAAAGATGTTCACAATGTAATAGGAGATAGATAGATAGATAGATAGATAGATAGATAGATATAGATAGACTAATGACCAATGTTCCTAAGATATTTGTAATAGAAAAGAGGGGATTCTTTATGGCTAAGATTAGAGGACAACCTTAAAGGAAAGAACGCATTTAAGCATTAAGCTGGGCTATCAGTAGATATGTGGTTGTTAGGTGTTGTCAAGTCAAGTATGACTCATAGCAACTTAATGAACAAGAGGTTGAACCCTGTCCTATCCTGGGCCATACTTAAAATCTCTGATACACTCAACCCCATTGCTACAGTTAATGTGTCAATCCATCTAGTTGAGGGTCTTCCTCTTTTTCACCATCCCCCTACCTTTCCAAGCATAAGGTCCGTGTCCAAAGAATAACCTCTCCTATCAACATGCCCAAAGTATGTAGGATAAAGCTTCATTTTCCTTGCCTCCAAGAAGCACTCTGGCTGCACCTTCTCTAAGACATATCTGTTTGTTCTTTTGCCCATGATATAGTCAATGCTCTGTACATACCTTATTTAATATATTCTATATACTTAGTACTCTATAACAGTAGATAAAGTTAGGAGGTTTTAAGTATCATTCAAGGCAAGAAGATCTTAATAAATGCTCACAAAGCTAAAAAATATCACATAGACTAAGTAATCAGTAGACGGTCACGAGTTTAGGGAATTGGATTGGTAAATACATTGGACAGTTTCATCCTGTCACACTTCAAAATTAAGTTATATTAACTTATGGAGAATCTGAATTAATATATGGAAGAATAGGAACTCTGTTTATTTGGACTAGGAGACAACTCATTTTTTTTATTGCTTTGTTTTCACCAGAAGATGAACATGACTTGGGTCAAACTTTGGAAAAATTGCTATGACAGCATTCTGCTAAAGGCCTGAAGGACAGAGAGTGAAAACAGGTAGACCTGTCAAGGGTACATCAGAGGAAGTCCTTGGTGAGAATGACGAACACCTTAACTAGGACAAGGGCAGAGAGGATGGCTGGGAGAGAAGATGCTGAAGAGGCGTAAGTAAAATGAGCCATATTTGACAACCAATTAAATGCAGGTAGAAAAAAAAGAAGACAGAGTTCAAAGATTACTCTCAGTTATTAGACGTTAGCTTATTGTGGTGGCAGAGAGAAGAGAAGGTGCAGATGCGAGCTTGGAGAGGTGGGAAATTTTGAGTTCACTTCTGTATTGAGAAGCAAAGTCTCCCTGTTCAAAGACAAAACATAAAATTGCATCCATTAGTGCCAAAAGAGTAGATGTTTAGCCAGCAATACTAGTCATGTGTTAACGCTGTCAAGGTCAAGGAATTTGACCTGCTAATCGTATTCTGTCTGTGGAGACTACTTTAAGGATATAGGCTACATGTGAATCTATACATTATGCTTCCTCTGAACAGCATCCTACCTTATACAGGATTAGAACTCAGGGGAGATTGCCAACACACATGTTCACCTGTGGTCTGTTACCCTGGTTTGTACTCATTAAGTAGCTAATTTACTCAGAAGTCTTTTGAGTTAACTGAAAGCTCTTAACCAAGAACATGGATGAGGCAAGCCGGTATCTCATTCTTGGGTACATACTTCTTTGTACATGGGATGTCCTAAGATTTAGTACCTCCAATTTTTACTTTAGACACCTAGTTCTCAACAACAAACCAAGAAATTAGCAGTTTAAACCTGTGTAGACATGCCTCAGAAAAAAGTCTTGAAACCCTGTGAAGCTGTTTCACTTCACATACATGAGGTCCCTATGTGTCAGAATCTACTTGACAGCAGGTAGTCTGGTTACTTGCTTGTTTTATATTACAGTACAGACAGATTCAACAGGGAGCAATGGTGGCCTCATCCTACAGAGTTGCACTGCCAACCCAGAGGCAGAATCTTCAAATCCAACAGCTGCTTTGTGGGAGAAAAAATGGGCAATCTCCTTCCATGCACTTTACAGCCTCTGAAATATTACTGGAGGGTCTGCTGTGAATATGTTCTGACAAACAACAACAACACAGGATCCACAAACTCTTCCTGTGATGAGTCAAGCAGTATTGTGTGCTACATGAGCAAATAGTCTCTGTCTCAACTTCTTATTCTGCCATTGAATCCAGAAAGGAGCCATAAATAATATGATCTTGAGGCTTGCCAATCTCTGTTCTCCAAAAGGAGCTAGTCAGACCTACGTTTCAGTTCCAGACCATCATTTGCCAAATAAAGTGGAATTGGACATGCACCTCTGTAAAAATCTGATAATTATATATTCCTGCCTGATGGTGAAAATTAGGGAAAATGTATTTAAATGCCTCATTAATAGTAGTCATTCCTTGTGTTCATGGCCATTTTCATTACAAGACAAACTAAGAGTAGACACTGACACTTACTGAATGTTTATTATACTTCAACCATATTAAGCATTTTATAAAACAATAAAATGTTTTATCTAAACTTCCAACAACTTTCTAGAGTAGAGACTATGACAATCGTCCATCGTACTTGTGGGAAGTGAGCTACTGCTACTGCCCAAGGGGTGCATACACAGATAGTAGGTGTTATTCCAAGCCAATCACCATGGAGCTAATGCCAACTCATGGAGCTCTGGTGGCTTAGAGGTAGGATGTTGCACTGCCAAGACAAAGACATGCAGTTCAAATCCACCAGCATGTCCTTGGCAGAAAGATGAGCAATCTCCTCTCATATGATTTACTGTCTCTGAAAATCTACTGAAGGATTGCTTCCCGTCTGAGTTGCTTCTGATTTGATGGTACATAACGGCAAATCTTGGTTGGATCCATAATTAACACTCTTGGTACAAGCAGCCAGGAAATAAGGAGACACATTGCAATGGGAAAATCTGCAGTTAGGGAACTTTCCAAATTATTGAGGAGTAGTGATGTCAGTTTGAGGATTAAGGTGCTTCTGATTTAGGCCATGATCTTTCCAATTACTAGCTATGCATCCAAGACCTTGACAATGAATAGGATAATAGAAAAATAATTGATGCCTTTGAGCTGTGGTGTTGGAGAAAAGTACTGAACATTCCGCGGACAGTCAAGAGAATGAACAGATAACTCTTGGAGAGGATGCAGTCACAGAGCTCTTTGGAGGCAAGAATGATGAGGTTTCATCTCACATACTTTGGACATGCTGCTTTGAGAACTATTCCTTGGAGAAGGACATGATGTTAGGAAGGGTGTAGGGCTGGCAAAAGAGAGGAAGACCTTCAACCAGGTGGATTGACAAGGTGACTGCTGTAATGGGCTCTTGTGTGTCAAGAAATGTGAGGATGGTGAAGGACAGGACAGTGTTCAGATCTTTTGTTCATAGGATTGCTATGAGTTATACTTGACTCGACAGCACCTAAGAACAACTAACACAACAGCAACTTCAACTCATGGTGACCCTCCGATGCCAGCCCAGATCTCTGCTCCATAAGGTTTTCAGTGATTCATTTTTTGGAAGCAGATCACAGTTCTTTTGACCAAGGTGCCTCCAGATAGACTCAAACCTTCAACCTTTAGGAGATCATCTAATATCAAGGAAGTAAATTCTAGAAATCTTTCCACAAACTAATTCACTGCCTAATTCGCTTCATTAATTTCACTCCAATAGAAATGTTCCGAATCATCTTGAAATCTGCAGGGCTTTTTGTAATTCAGCACAGCTTTACACAACAGAAAATAATCTGATATATTTATGGAGATTTGCCTTCAGATTAACAACCTCAGGTTCTATTTTGCGTAAATTAAATGCTTACTCCATTACCCTGTCACGTATCTATCCTGTCCCCCACATGGTAAAGATCTCAACAGCCTAGAGAAACCAAAATCTCATTGAGAACGCTAATGCAAACCCATTTCAAAAAAAATGTATCCCATAATCACTCTAAAAACTTGCCATTTCAAAGCTACACCGCAGAATAGCACACTGGATTAATTATGCCAGACTGCAGCAATAACCTTGAATTAAAGCTGCAACCTTCTATTTTTAAGAAACACTTGCCTTTCTGGTTGATGAAACCTGTCGTCCCATCAGGTAACAGACGTGACCAGGAAAGAGAGAAGCGGTAATGAGTCAATCCAAGCTGTTTGATACATTTCAAATCTTCCTCCCACAGAGTGTAGCTGCCACAAGCTACATCGCCAGTCTGGTTCTTGAAAACTCGCTTTCCTCCCTGATGGGTGAATGTGTCCCAGACACTAGGGCCTTTTCCATCTGCATCCCAGCCTCCTGAGAAAAAGAAGAAAAGGAAACAGTTACACTCTTGACATCAAGAGGCATATGTGGAATGTAAATATTTGTCGCCAGAAGAACATACCTCATTAACTCAATGCATCATATTTATAACTTCAAAATATGCCTTTAAAATAACATGCCTGAGTGGGTTATGTGTTTAGCTGTCCTTGATCTCTGAAGCTGAAGGGTGGCAAATGAAAAATTATTGCTCAGTGTGCCTCATAGCAAGCTTTCATGGTTCATTATCCAAAGAATCCCCCCTGGTAAACAGAGGCAGGCCCCAGCCTCTGAATGTCTAAGTGGAAAACAGTTCTTTTTTGTGAATATCTTATGGGTTGGGACTGACAACGTGAATTGTCCTTGCATGTGTGAACTTCTCTTGGGATCTTATCTCTAGCACTCTACACTTGAACCCTATTCTCCTGTTATTCATCTATGGAACCAGAGATGGTCCAAACAATTATTTGATAGGAGAGCTCTAGTGTCCACCATGGTTGATTTGAAATTGGTGTCTTACCTTCATTAATTCAATCATTCATTCATTTAAACCTCTGTTCATTGAACAAATGCTGTCATTAGCTGCTATTGCGTGAGCTCCATGTTCATAGACAATGATTCAGATGGATTATGGAGACAGGCAAGTGCAGATGGTTAGTCTGCTCTGCATGGGGTCACTAAGCACTCTCTCAACAGCAACTAACAACATCATACATGAAAGATAAAAGCATGAAAATGTGCCTGGGAATCATAGATTCAAGCTAATGGTCATCTTTAGGGGAAGAGGAGAGAAAATATAGCCTGAGAAGAATACAAGAAGATTTTTGTGTCTTTTATGTTTCATCTTTTACATTGGGTGGGAGAAACGTGGTAGGAGGGGATTATTTGACACGTTATTCACCATCTCTTCAATATGCTTGAAATATTTCATAATAACTTTTGTATAAGAAAACCAGTCCCAATCAGAATAGATTATAGCGATTATAAGAAGTTTTTTCTGATCCTCATCACTTACTCACGTTTTATGCATATATACTTTCTAATTCAACAAAGAGGCAGCATGCAACAAAAGGATGTCAGTGGCAACGTGGGGAGATGCAAGGTACTGCTAGAAGGAGGAAATTAGACCAAAACAAAAATGACAGCTAATATCAAGGCAGGAGACCTAATGACTGTGTAAAGGAGAATTACTGTTGATGGAATCTGGAAAGGAGGAAGCAAATAATTCCTTGTATTCCACCAGTTCTCGAGTCGATTTTTTGCATGAGATTTAGAGGGGTAGACTGAAAAAGAATGCTAATATTTTATCTTGGACTAGGACAGATATAAACACTAAAATAAAAGTTCAAGTATGGTACTCTTAGTTTTCAATAGTTAATTTCTTTCCTTTTTTTGACACTAATTTCATAAATAAGAAAAGCTACCCTGAAGAGACCATAGCTGACATCCAAGCAGATATATGCACACCCATGTTTATTGCAGCTTTGTTCACAATAGCAAGGAGTTGGAAACAA